TCTCGATTTACCGTTTACAATTTCAAGTATATTATAACTAAGTATTAATTTATTTTTAAAGGAAGAAAAATGTGTTTAAAATTGGAACACAATTTACGCAAGAAAAAAATATTTAGTTCTTGAGTTCAAATTTTCTTTTCATTTTTTTTAAATTTTTATTTTAAAAACTGTACTGTTATGTAATTTTATGAAATTAAATTACATAAAATTCATTTGCACTGTGAGGGTTTATTTTGAATCATATTTATGGATTAATCATACACTTACTATACAAAATGCAAAAAAATATTGCTGATTTATTATATTAATATGTAAAAAATTCAAAGTAAGATTTCATTACAATAATTCTTTCAGAAAAACTCAAATTTATGTAAAGAAAGAAAATCAATGACTAGCTTTGTTTAGAGAGCTTAGGGCAATTAAATCTTGTCAAATAACATGACTTGATTTTAAAATTGATATAGATATATATTAATGCTTTTGATATTAAATTCTGGATATTTTAATTCAATTATAATAATTTGTAGAATATTTAACAACACTAGGTTTGTTTCAAAAGTTCATATTTAAATATGAATACCGATATTGTCATGCATGTAAAAAATTATCCAATTTTCTTTTCAAAATGTGATTTGAAAAACGTATCAATTTGATTGAACAAAATTTTGTATAATTAAAATTATGTGTTAAAAATTCCGAGGTTAATCCGAACAACTTCTATATTCTAAAAAAAAATGTATGATTATGTTACTAATATATCAGATTAGATCCCTTCGTAAGCAGTCTAGTAGCAAGGTAGCTAAACAGACACGGAGACGATCTTTTAAAAGTAGACGGAGTCCTCAAACTTCCAAGTTGGATCCTGGTGGAGATATATTTAGGTGATAACAAAATTTCTGAAATATTGTTATCATATGTGCCTATAAATATTATTTTAAGACATCTTACCAATAAAGGGGCCCACCATGTAAGTAGGAACATCCCACGTTCTACCCATCATGTCCGAACGACCCATTTACGGCTTCCTAACAATGCATAGGATGTCAAAATTACGCATTCTGCCCCTTCACACGATCATACAACGTTACTTCTTACACTATTTGGAATGTACTACACCCTCTCACTTTGTGTCGGACTATTATTGAACAAACGTCCTTATTTAGATACCTTATAGAACGTTCAAGCTATAAGATAGACACTAAATCTATTTTCTATTATTTGATTTGACATTGTTATATACAAGTATGCATCCTTATCGAATGCCGCCACAACATAGTTCACTGGAAGCTAGACGGTTGAATCAAGTAATAATCTACAAATTGTTTATTACGAGAAGAACTCGAATTATCCACATTCAGAAGGAGACTCTTTACATACATCAAGCAAAGTCACTTTCATGTAGCATAAAAGAGAGTTTCATTGATGCAGTTTTAAAGCAAGCCACTAGGTCAATTATGTATATCTCATATGCAAAGAGGTTACAGAAGGGTTTTAAATGACTACTGTCATTTACGATGCAGGCATCAACGAATCGTTTTTTTCCTCCGTGAATACCATACTTTATCTTCATTCCTAATTTTCTATATGCCGTTTTGCACCACCTTGTAATCTTTCCTCTCACTTTTATGTAAAGTTCAAAGCGGATTGTCGCCAGTTTTCTTAACTTTTTACGAGAAGTGTCTTTTAAGAGAAGTGGCTCCCAAACAAACAGCGCTTTTGCTAAAAACCCCAATATATCGTTTATCATTGCTTCTAACCGACCATGTACTTTTTAGCCCTTCCTCGTATATGCTCGCTCTATACATTGCTGAAATTTCTCTCCAGACTTCTTCCCACCATGATTTATGTCAGTTCTTTATTTTATTCAATTTAAGCTAGTCATATTGCTAACTGCAACGTAGCTTCATACATATAAGTTATTAACTATTAATCAAGAATATTTAGTATCTTCTTTTGTTTTTCAGCGCACAATTTCCAGACAACCTTCATAATGGGGGAGAATCAGAGGACCTGCGAGGTCCTGTTCCCATTCTTAGAATCCAAATAGAAGTGAGAATCACTCATCACAACATAACCAAAACCCAATAAGGCTAACCCAAGCGTAGCTTTATAATCGTTCAAGGTTTATTATTGTTGACATTTCGTGTAAGTATAATGTCAAAATTCACATTTTGTTCATCGATGGACTGCAGCCACCTATCCTTTTCTATCGGTTATTCTACTCTTTGGTCTAAGATAATCTACAATTCATTATCCACTGAAAAGGAAGTAATGATTTGAAAGGAATATGCTTTCGTGCAGAAAACTTGGACTATGAAGTCTCCAACTTGAAAGAAGTTAATGCGATCTTGGCCCACCACACTCCTTACATTAAACGTGCAAAATATGGGGATACTCAGAGACTTATCATTGTACTTTCAAGGGCATATTTCCACCGAGAATCTTCACCTACAATTTACCACTAAAATTTTGAAAATATTCAGACGTGTCTCCGTTTGTTGAGGGAACAGCTGAATCTCGAAGGGCACGACTTAATTTTAATTTTTCTTTCCTAATGGTACTACTCTCGAGTTCTAAATTTTTGATATATCGTTGATTTAGCAGAAGATTTATTTGATGGACCTGCCCCTAGCATTGAGTAAAGATCAGAAGTGATCAATGAAGAAGATATCTATGTGTATACATATGTTCTAATGTGGGGAGAAGTTTTTTAAAGCCCGTACTATATAGCTCAAAGGCAAGTTTACATAGATTACGGTTTCGGGTTAAAACTAACATATGTATTTACCGCGTAGTTATTCTATGCTCAATAATCTTTCATCGATCCTAATATTGAGAAATTAAAACACATATTGCAGAAGCCTACAAAATATGACTTGTATTAATATAATATTTTCTTTCTGTTTATTTGAAAATAATAATAATAATAATAATAATAATAATAATGGTTAAACTAATGCATCTTTTTTTACATGTAAAGATTAATCTGATAGATTTTTTACATGTAAAGACTCCAGAGTACAATGATGAAATAAAATATGAAACATGGAGCTCTTCGTCAATTGCGTCAGAATGAAACAATCGTCACATTACAGCAAATACACTCACACCATATAAGACAAACAGTAAACAAAATATGTGTATGAGCCACAAAGTTATCTAAAGCTCCAGAATTAAGCATAAATGGACCGCAAGGCATATCATCATTAAGCCAATGTGAAATCAAGTATTAAAATTTGTAATGATGTCATGAATCGTTCTATTTTCAATAAAAAATCAATCTTATGAAATAGTTGTGAATCAAGAGAATACAAAAGAATGGTACAAGTCAAAACAAACACTCATGTCACTCTTGCTTGATAGGAGGTTTAGTAGTACAAGCAACTTTAGTATCCACCACGGTTGTCATCAAAACTTTCTATAGAACGTATCATAGAGTCAAATCAATTAGAAATTAAAATAGGGGAAAAACATGATATCATCTCTCCATTTGGAAAAATGTAGCCGTGCAGTATATGATTAACTAATTTTCGACTCTCTCACTCTAGCTCCCGTAATGGCGACCGTTCATCGCATCGATCGCCTGGAATCGGGAAAGAGAAAAGCAAGCAACCAATGGTACTGGTCTGACCCCAAGAGATCGGAACAAATCCGGTAGCACCGGTTGATCTGGGATCCGAGATGGTTAAGGCCGGTCACCGGTCACAGAACTGAAAGAATTACCAGAGAGAACGTCAGTCGAGTTGGATCTAACGCTAGATCCGTCCACTCCTGACAGGATCCGCACGCTCGCGCTGGGCAGGAGCATCTGTCCAAATCCGGCATCACAGGAATCGCCCTTCTGGTGCCCGCATGCGAGGCCACCGGATGAACATTCCAAAATAAATACGTCCGGCTGCCCAGAGAGAACGCAGCTGCAAGAGGCCACAGAGAGAGCTGTCCCATCGCAGTAGCCAGCAACAGCCGGGACGCCTCACCGAATCGCACCATCTGTCGCTCAGGTACAGCCCCGTTCACCGAGCCCAACCGGTGAGAAGCTCTGGGACTGGCGATAAGCACCGGCTGTCAGCACCGACCAGAACAGCACAGAACAGAGCGGAGCGGTACACAACAGAAGCTGGTAGCGGGGCGAGAACACGTCCGTTCCGTTGGTTGCTCTGTCTGACACCAACAGCAACGCCGTCCGTCCGGCCGGAAGATGGGAAAAGCGATCCGGGGTGGGGTAAGCCAAAAATACACGGGAAGGGAGGGAGGGGTACCGAAGCTGACAGGGCGAGCGGGCGAGCGTGCGCATGACAGAGATCGATCGCGGAGAGATTCGAGAATCGCAACCGTTGAGGGGGCCGGGCATGACGAAGATTCGATGGCAGGAGCGTCGGCATTGATGGCGAGAAACGCGGATGGCTCGAGCAGAGCCAGTGCCAGATGCGAGCGCCGGGCGCAAGATGACAAATTCGTGGATCACTAGGTCAAAAATAACGGCAGAAGTCGCACCGGCTCCGCTCGGGCGCGGGCCTGAGCCTTGAGCCTCGAGCCTCGAGCCTCGAGCCTCGGGACCGAATGGAAGCGCAGCAAAGCGAAGAAAAGCGTCGCGACGCAAAGCTACTCTGATTTCGGACTTGGCTTCCGCCTCATGAGCAGCAGAGCAGAGGAGCAGAGCAGAGGACGAGGGAGGAAGGCAAGGCAAGGCAAGGGAGGAGTGGAGAGTATCTCAGAGACGAGACGAGACGACGAGAACAGAGCGAGAGGAGAGGAGAGGCGAGGCGAGACGAGATTAGAGATCTGGCGGAATCGGACTGCGATCCTCGCGATCGCAATTGATCGCGAGAGAGTGGAGAGGAGAGAGGAGGAGAGAGAAGGAGGGAAGAAATGGAGTCAGAGTGATCGATTTAGAGACTGAGATTGTGAGAGGGCGATTGGAGGGAGGGAGGGAGGGAGGGAGGGAGAAGGAGGTGGAGGAGGAGGCGGAAGAAGGAAGGAAGGAAGGGGAATGAGAGATTGAACGAGAGATTGGTCGGTCGGTCGGTGAATGAATGAATGCTTGAGTGAATGAGGTGCTACGGGGCGGAGCGGAGCGGAGGGGGAGGTGGTGGTGGTGGAGGAGGTGGTGGTGGTGAGTTCTGAGACAGAGAGTGGAGGAGGTTGGAGGAGGTGGTGGTGCACGGATCGGAGAGGCGAGGCAAGGCGAGAGAGGGATCAGCGAGTGCGGATCTATCATTCTGCAGAAGCCTGTGTGGTGTCTGCGAGAGCTGAGAGGCAGAAGGCGAGAGAGAGCTGACGAGAGCTGACGAGAGCTGAGAGGAGAGGGAAGGCGAGAGGGAGAACCAGCCGAGTTCGAGAGTAAGAGGGTAACGATTATAAAGGGGGGATGGGAACGTTTTCAGTCAAGGATGATGAGTTGTTTTATGGAAGAATTGTGGGAGGAGGATGTTCAGATTTTGACTCGGGTGGGAGATTTCAGTGGAGAGGTGAGGATCGTAGTATGCACGCTCTAGCTTGGGACTGTCAATTTGTTAGCGACGAAGATGATGGTGAAGAAGATTGTTATTCAATTTGTCTAGTCTGTCGTATGAAATGTGCTAGCTAATGCATATTCACGCTCGTTGGTGTTCTGGCCTCCCCTCCCATTGTCAGATCTCTGATTGCTTGCTGTTTCAACTTCGCTTCTTACCAGCTGAACGATCATGGGTTCAGTCTATGCTCGGTCTAGATTCTGGGCATCTAGATAGAATCTGAATGATCAGCTCGTGTCCAAGGATCGCTCATTCTCTGGTCGGTCGATCTGAACGGATAGGCATGCGGATCGCTGTGCATTGTGGAGTGACGTTAATGTGAATCGAGTAAGGGGGTTGGGATTGACAGCGTTTGAGAGTGGTAGATCTTAGTGTCTACAATGTGAAGGTTCCCACCTCTTTACTCAGATGGCCGGCCCGATGCAGGAGTGGACCTGAATCATGTCTCTCGGATCGAGGAAGCTCGTGGTGAGCTCTTTTGATCCTGCGACCAGATCACTGAAATTCCAGTTTTCTGTAATCGCTTTATGTATTCTGAGCTCCCAATGCTGCAGAATGTACAATACAACACCAGCTATTGCTTCTAGTATAATAACTAATAGCAGCTGTACTTCTGGAAGTTTGTTACCAATATGTAGTCTCATGGATCTCAAGATGAATGAAGGTACCCAATTACTCTACACTGGAAAGGCCATACCTCAAGGAGACGAGATTTGGGTTGTTTCGTGTCAGGTACTGGGCATACCATGGGATGTCGATACCGAAGGACTCAGACAGTACATGATGAAGTTTGGACAACTCGATGACATAATCGTGATGAAGGTTCATATTCTACACCTCGAACAACGTAACGAAGCAATGAAGACCAGAAAAACGATCTTGTCCTGCCCTCCGTCAACTGCTCCTGGCCTCCGCCCCCCATCCTGCTGTTAGTGAGATTGTTTTCTAGCTCAAAAAAGTCGTGGTCCGTATCAATCCCCTGCATTGTTAAAATTTTTGACAATAACACATTATTCTGGTTTCTGAATTCCATCAAAGACTTTGAAACGCGAATTGTGACATTTAAAAAAGATAATATATGGTCAAGGGTGAGATCCGGTTACTACATGTTGCGCTGGTAAAGCATCGACCTGATAAAGTTTTGTGGTTCGCTCCTACACCCAGGATCGTGCCACAGGCCGCTCCCGAGGGTTTGGTTATGTCACTTTCACCCTGACTGAAGACGCAGAGGTAAGCGATTTGAGTATTGAACTTGCCCACAGGAAACCGGGAAAGATTCTAATAGATCTGATTGTGACGTTACTAGTTGCAGCGTCCTGTTAACATAGCACTGTTTATTGTGGATTTCAATGATGTCCTTTACATATGGTTCTGTTCTTACTTAAGTTGGATAGAATTTCCACATATTAAGACATGAATGCTCATCTTACTTCACTATGCGTAGAAAGCGCTTGCAACGCAACATTCTCTCAATGGACGCATGTTGGAGGTTAAAATAGCAACCCCAAAGGTACATAAGCTTGGGTAGAACCAGTCGATTTCATATTTTAACCAATTATGTGTTGCTGTTGATGCTCTAATTGTATGATCGCATCAGTTTTGCACCGTTGTGTCGCGCTCTTTATATCACTTCAAACACCGCTGAAAATTGAAGTTAATTTTATCTTGCGCCGTTTCTTATTTCAGGAAGACATGAAACCAGCGACAAAAAAGATCACTAGGGTATTTGTAGCTAGGATACCACCTAGTGTCACAGATGAAATGTTTCGCAGGTGAGGTCACTGAATCAGGCCTTATATCACCTAAATCTATTGCGTATGTACTTAAAGAATGCTGGGATTGTTTCAGATCAATTGTTTTTACATCCTTCCAGGTTTGTGTATATTTCTGACGTAAGTCTCTACGACCTGTTTTAGGGTGAGTTTGTAGGTTCTCTGCAGAATTTTTGGATTCAAACTGGTTTGTTTAGCTTATCGTGTGTATTACTTGTACCCCTTGCAGTTACTTTGAAAAGTACGGAACATTGACGGATGCTTACATGCCAAAGGTACTTCTAACAACATGCAGTCAGTTTCATTTCTTAGTGTTGATTTGAGTGTACTCATTGCCTTAGTCTGACAGCATTTTTAAAAGCTGACAACATCTTCCGAATGTGATCCTGTCCTTGTTTAGGATCAAAATTCGAAGGCTCATCGTGGCATTGGATTCGTCACTTACGAACATGCAGGTTCGAATTAAAGAAGTTCATTCTTTTGGGATTCTGTAACCGAGTTCAGTGTGCTTTGCTGACATGTGGAGCTAAAGTTATTTACTTATACTACAGGATGAAATATTTTGCGGCTCAGAGATGACAGTTCTGAGATCAGACTTTTCTACCGTAGCTCTGCTTTGTTGCTCTTGGCACGTGCCTTTCATATTCGTGATGGTATGCCATTTGCTTTACAATGAACCAAAATGTGACTTGCCTCGACAGATTTTAAGAACGAAAATTGCCGAAAATGGCCATACAAACATTGGTGTCTAAATTTAGGCGTTACATTTTTGTTTCCATTGCTCACGCTTTGGTCAAATTCCGCATTGGATGCAAGTAAATATTTTAAGCTCCTCATGTCAGCAAAGAAACTCGATCTTGCCGCGTTCTTTCACTCTAGTGCCGATGTGCAATTTGGTTGACAGCGAACGAAAAGATGACAACCTTAATTTATAATTCACTTACCTTCTGAGCTCTTTGCTATGGGCGACAGATGCGGTAGACAAGTTGATGGCAGAATCGCACGAGCTTGGCGGATCAACAATCGCTGTTGATCGAGCTACTCCTAAGGTACGACGCTGAAATCTACATTATCACTTGAAACCTCTGAGCATGGTCGAATGAATTTTACTGTAGATTTATTACAGCTATAGGGGCTTTCTCTCTATTGGTAGGACTGTACCTAGTTTCTGATCATCCTTTGGTCGCCGGTGCAGCGATGATAGTTTTACTGTCATGTAGTCCTTCTATGATTGTTTTTTGAGAAGTTCTTGTTAGAAACAGGGGACTCGTTCCCCGATCAGACTGTCCGCAACTGGGGCTTACAGCGTCCTCAAGACCAGGGGTGATTGTATGGTATCAACTGAATGAATTTCGTTCACAGCATTGAGTTTGCTCCCATATATCAGGGAACAACTCCTCAACACTTAGTAGTTCCCTTAGACCTTCATGAAACCAGCCCACAGCAAATTTTGAGGTGTGATTTTTTTTGGGGGTGATGGCTTTTAGGGGGCGTTTGCAGCTCCTATGGAACCAGGCTACGAGCTGGTAAGTAGCAACACTGCAGGACCTTGGGATAAGATCTCAAGCAACAAGCACTAAGTTTTTTAGCAACTGTTATCAGATTCTAAGCATTTTGTCCAAAGATCCTTACTCTTTTGCTTTGCTGCAGATTTGCAAGATTGTAGCTCATCACAGCATGGGGCATAGAACTGTTTTTTTAACTCGAGTTTACAAAAATTATGCTGTTCATCTTGTTCAATAAATTGTTTTCCAGATGAGCGTAGCTTACCCAAGTACCGGTATGTGCTCTCATCTTTCAGGAGGAAACGATGAAAGTATGGGGTAGAGGCTTTCCAGCGGCTGCGTATGCAACTGCACCATATGGAGTCTATACAAATGCTGCTAGGTTTACAGCTTTTGGTGGAGCAGCATTTGGACCTTATGATTACTCAGGCGCTGGTCTTGGAAGTGACCTGGGCGCCGCTGGCATGGCTGGTTCCTATGGCTCTAACGCTTGGCCACCTCCTCCTCCTCCTCCTCCGGGAAGTATTCTTGGAGGTCAGAATGTCCAAGTTCCTGGCGCTACTCCTGCCGCAAACTATGGCTCTGCAGCGGCTCCTGTTCCACCAGCTAGAGGACTTGGGACAAAGATTTTTGTAGGAAGACTACCACCGGAAGCAACTGCGGATGATCTGCGACGCTATTTCAGCAACTTTGGGCGTATTTTAGATGTTTATGTGCCAAAGGTAAATATCATACCGGTGTTTGAGAATATAATGAAAGACTCTAACGTGAAGAAATGCTCGTCTCAATATTGTGATAATAACGCCAAAGACCATTTTGAGTAGTTTCAGTGTGGAGTTCCTTCGTAAAAAATGAGCTTTCAAGCCAATTTGGATGACGGCTGGTTTGCAGGACGCCAAGAAAGTCTCGCATCGAGGTTTCGGGTTTGTCACTTTTGCCGAAGAGGGAGCTGCGGAACGGGTTGCACTTAGGACGCATGAACTTCTTGGCCACCAGGTACGCCAAGAGAATCACAGCATTTATTATTCTTTGTAATAGCCTGACAGTTGATATGTATAATACCAAGGTCATGTTCAAGGGTTAGGGGTTGTCAAGGACCTTAAAGTCTAGAAGCGATTGCTTATGATGTCGTTGATTACTGAACACACTCACGTTGGACTGTTCTGTTCTGGTGTCTGCAGATAGCTGTCGACAGAGCAGCTCCTCAAGATGATTCCGGTGGCGGTTCTGGGTACTTTCAAAACTCTGTAGGTGGGCAAGGAGGATCGACAGGCGGTGCTGGAGGTCCGTTGAGAGGCAACAATCCAGGAGTTGCAGCCGGTGGATTTGGAGGTTTACCTGGCAGTTTGGACTTCAACAGTGGAGTAAGACGTCTTCACCCTTACAATTTCATGTATTCTGTGGGTATGAGTTTCTCTTTGACAAATGTAGTCAAGCGACGAAGGAAGTGATGTCACTACAGTGTAGAAGTATTTATTATCTTTTCCACCACGACGCTATCCCTGAATCTATTGGCAACGTCTCGTGAGGGATATCATCTCACATTCTTCCTTTTGTCCAGTGGGGGGCATATGGTGGGGTGGGTCCAATTCCAACAGGTGACTCTGGAGTACCAGGTGGGCATCGGGCTTCCAGGATAGAACCGCGTTACAGGCCTTATTAGGCTTTTCAATGTTGGGGACCGTGAAGGCACTTGATGTGCCAGTAAAACGTTAACGTAGTAGCTTTATCGGCCCTACGGGACAAAGTTGTACAATATTTCCTGCTGAGAGTTATGCAGCTAGCAGGATGTCTAACATGAATAGATCCAAAATGAGGATGGCTGCTGCATTATCTTGATATTGCAGTTTCTGCATGTTTACGTAGCTACTTATGTAGTACACAGATGACAGCACCATCGAGGCATTTTTTAGTTCATGAGTTGCATGAGAAAGCTTCCCATGGACAACCCTGTCCACCAAAATCTGGTGTGCATGGCCTGGACGATCGGCTCCTAATTTGCAACAATTCTTTGTTTAGACCTCCACCAAAGAAAGTGTGGATACACATCGCTCATTATTTAAAAATTGCTCTTGATTTTGCACAATGGCTTTGAGAATGTCCTATCTCTGTAAGAACCCCTTTGACTGCTCTAACGAGTGAGGCGGGCCGCTCTTCTTTAGCGCACCGTGCGTATAGATTGTAGCTCGATCTCTTCAAGAACTGCCTGATGCTTGCCATTGTCTTCATCATTATGCAACGGGCTCCATCACCCTTTGATTATGCAGGGATAATTTTGTTATCCGTGCCCGAGTGTGAAGTTAGGCCTGATCTTGGAAACTGGATCGAACAGCACGCTTTGTCAAAAACACTAATCTTCTTTTGTTACTCTTTTGGAATATCATAATCAGATTGGTACTTTCACAGGAGGCAGCAGTGATCTTTCGATAGGCCGAAATGTTACACCTGAGTGGGCAAGATATGGCAGGTAGCGAAGGTAATGGTCATATTGAATTCTTATCACGGGCGCTGTCGTATTTTTTGGTAGATTGTAAGTGCGGTCTCTCTCTATCTCTCTCTCTCTCCTGAGCCTCTTGCCACAGCTTTCTTATTGTGCAGCCTCATTCCCAGTTTGTACTCATTGGTAAGCGCTTAGGGATCTTGAAGTTTACTAAGCTTATTGGATTGCACTTTGCATGTGAATCAAATTTGCAGCATGGTTAGGAACTTGGGTTTTGGATGTTCCACGGCTCCAGATGACAAGAAATATGATTATTGTACAGTTACACGACTTGGAGGTAGCCTATATTGCGTCCCCTTCAGGTGGGAATGCATGGTGAGATTCTCTGATTGTGGAAGTAGCATTGCCTGGTGTGTTTAGCTCTACACACCTCACGCTTTTGATTCTGTATGATATTGCAAGTTCATAGTCTACTTGCAGTTTCAGATTCCATCCATCTCTCTATATATCTCATTGAGTTGCTTCTGCGAAGCGAAGCAAAATCGCCGAGGATGGTGAAAACTTACGTCTTTGGTACATGTTCTAGTGAGAGTGAGCAAGATACACCTCTTCTGCTTTTTCTCAAGATACTGAAATGAAAGTCTGAATTGTACAGACATCACAACTGAAGTCTGCTTTGGTGCACAGAAGTTTCCAAGTTGTTGCTGGCCTTAAGGGATCTCCGTCAGACTTAGGACCCCTCTTTGCTTGTGGAAATCACTCTTGTGTAAGATTACCCAAACGAATACTCAATTTCACCTGCTGGCAAACCACTCATAGTCTCCAGTCGCAGAGGCAGCTGGTGGGCGTGCAGTAGAGACGTGTCCGTCTTCACGGCACGCTACACAGCCGAGGATGTAGCTGTTCCTACGCCAGATGACATTTGAACATATTTACTCCAAATGGAGGCGATTTTTGTACATAGTCTGATCGTCATCTGGACGTTGCAGTTTTTACCATGCAATCATTACAAATGTCGATCATTTTATCGGTATCCATTCGCCACGCACGGTCTGTCTTCATCGTACGATCTCTTAATCGTAAGTTTGTTCATTACGATGTACAGAACCACGTGTAAAGGGAAATTTACTACAATCACTTGCCCTTGTCATCAACTTGTAAATAAACTTGCACTTTATCATCTCAGCTTCGATTGCCCCGATTGCCCAGATAACTCTTCCGATCACGTCTAGAAGGAACCGATGCTTCTCATCTAGCTTTCGTATCTGAACAGTGAAGACTTTCTCCCCTCGCCAGAATTATGCACTAATGCTGATCGATCTTTATAAAACTTCTGCAAAATCCGTGGCTTCTGAATTCTGTGTCACAACTTTACGTTCACATTTGACTTGAGGACTTCAGGTGCATATCAGGGACTTTTAGTGACAGTTCTATGAAACTACAGTACCAGCAAACCTTTCCTCCATGACTTTGAGAGGACAATTTATGTAAGTTAAGTTATATGTACATAACTTAACTTACATTAGGACATATTAAAAGTCAAGACAACGCTGAATAGGTATGAACAGAAACAGATATAAACAGGTATAAACAGAGGCTTTTGTTGTAGTAGTAAGAAGACAGTTGAGATTGAGCATTAACACGACGTGCTGATTTAACACTCCAGGTGTTGCTACATCGCCTTGAAGAAGAGCCACGCTTGTGGATTACACTTAAAGCCGAATCGTAAACTGCAAACTTCCAAATATGCGGTATGTTCACCTTTTACGGTGGTATAATAGCTGGCAGCCTTGTAAACCATTCAAATCTTCGATGTCAGCCCACATTCCCTGCAAGAGCTTAAATGAACGGGGCATTTTCTTTTCACTCAGCTTGTTCGTGTGTTAACATTCAAAACCAAACTTGACTCTTAAATTCAGCTGCTTACAAATAAAGATAGCTTGAATTCGAGTACATGCGGACTTCTCACAAAAGCTACAAGCAGGTCGAGCATCTCACAGACAGATAGAATATAATTCAAATGAAGATATAATATACGAAACAAATGTACCACAGTGATAAAATAAAAGCAATTTGCAGCGACTTCTATATTTTACAAAAAATCGATACGAGCAACCAGCAGCTTTGCAATTTCTGAAGTAATCTACTGGAAACTATATCCATAAACTATCTGCCTAAAGAGCTCGTCTTCAAATCCCCGCCTACATGCAGGAAGTTCCTGAGAAAACTTGGGTCTGGACGTTCAAGTTGGGCACGTAAGCCTCTTGATAACAAGAAGGGGCAGTGCATCTCTTGGTGCACACTTCATCAATGTAAATTCTGCAAGTTGTGGGTGGATATCACCGCGACTTTGCTCTAAATACACCAACATTTAATCACCACAATCTGCAACTCATGTGCGAAACAAGCCGAGCTTGGGTAAGGGCTAAACCCTTGCATACACCGTTGAATGGGCGCAACTGTATACTAAAAAGACCGCTACACTTCTATTCTTCCTCGGCGAAGACAATTTTCTTAGGCTTCTTGGGAATTTGACTCCTCTGCAGAGACCACACAAACCAAAAGAAGCCTCGTCAGTGATGCAATGAGAGTAGAGAAAAATGTCTTAGTTTTGCGTATTATCTCTCAGACCTTGCAAATCGGACCAGGATGTCTTCGTTGGGCTATAAAATGCACTTGAAAATTATTACAATTCCTCCTAAGAAAGCTACGGTGACTTACAATATCTGGATAGTCGAAGTCGATTCCCGCTGCATTCAGCTTTTGTCGACGTAGTTTGTCTTTCTTTACTATGCCTTTGATCAAACGTTTTTGTTCCACAGGATTTCGCACCTGGTGAAATTACAAGATCAGCTTAGCAGATTCAACTTCAACTTTACCACAAGCACGGTAAACTGTACGCAGAAAATTCGACAAAAACCATCAGAAGCAAACAGAGCAATCAAGGATTGATGGGAAGAGGCACATAGTTGCATGTACCCTATTATGACGCATGCGGTTTATCAACGCAGCCTTTCCAGGTTGGTAAACTCGATTTGCCCCTAGCCACCTGGACAAATATCAAAGAGTCAGATTCTTATTTGGCTACTAGTGTACAAGCTTTAGTGCTTCATTCATAGGGGAGTTGCAGTGTATAAGTGCGTCTAGGAATGAGTCGAGCCGTACATGTTCGGGTGGTATTTCTCCACAGGCACTAATTTCACTTGAAGCATGGACTCCATAAGTAAGTAGTTATTCATGCTCTCCGCCACAATGGCGGCAACCTGCGACAGACATGAAAAACGTCAGGTGTAGAAGCTAAATGATAAGCCATATGGAAGAACATTGGTTGTTACTAAAAAAAAAGGCCTTGACTGCCTAGACGAGCAAGTCGACGTAAATGTCGACAAAAGCTATCACACAATGTCCACCAATTCCGATTAAAGCAAGCCACAATCTGTCCTCAAAGAGGTACATTGTACATTCACTAGTGAGCAAACAGTCTAACCGATGAGTTTATACGAAAGTTAAACTCTAAATGATACACCGTCGAATTACAACATGAAAACAGAGACTAAGATTTACGACGTAAATAAATCCCCAGACCAAAATAATTATCTAGCTCATCAGGAACATGCCTCGTGAATACGGGTACTTCAGATTTGAAGACATGAGCTTCATCAACGAAGCAGCACATTCAAGGTACTAAGAACCATGTGTCTGAATTACGAGTTGACAACCAACAACATAACGTAGCATAAAAGCAACACACCTCGTTTGTCAAAGAATTTTGTCAACGAAATCAGCTCATTGATGTTCGTAAAGTCCACTAATTGGGAATAAGATGGAATAATACGTTGCTCAAACACTGCTAGAAATGTAATGAGGATCTCACAAAAATACGGGAGAAAATAGATTGTATGCATGACTCGGTGAAACCAACGAACATATTGACAGAGCCTTGATGAGCCATGAGTGATGCGACAGTTGTCATCGTGATCAGAACCAAGCATAAATTGCAACAGCTGACAACTTGCATAAAAAATTTCGATTCCATGGGGTTTGTTCTCGCCTGGTATGGAACAATCCAAGATTTCCGATCATAGGATAAGACCACGATGCCTTGTTTAGGTTCACGCAATTATTTTGAGAATCATGTAATGATGCTCACTTATAAGGAGGCAGTCAGCAACGATTCAGGGAAATAGAGAGATACAGTACTAGGTTTAGATTCAGGGAAATAAAGAGATACAGTATTAGGTTTAGCCATGAAAAATGACGACTTTGCGTTCTTCGTGACTGACGTCGTACGACATGGGCCATATTTACCCATCAATACGAGACCTTAGTAGAAAATATATGTGCAGATTTTAGACCTAAGGCCAACTTCAGCACAGACAAACGGGCGGAGCAGAAAACAGATAGAAGGCATAGGCAGATACTTATCAATCAAGGAGACATAAGAGTCGAAAAGATTATTGTGCTGAGTTCAGAATTGTCGCCTCACCTCTGGCACCTCGAATTTGATGAAACCGAAATGCTTTGATTTTCCAGTCTGGAAGCGCGAAACAGGCCACTTTCAGTACTCCAGACACTCAACATTGACAATCAACGATTTAAGAAAAGAGCTGAGACAAAGATAAATGAGACGATGTCCTCTCCAAATAATACCTTCTTATTGCGAGAAATTCGAAGCTTACTTATGTTCCCGAACTGCTCAAAAAAACCTGCAGGTAAAAGATCAAGGAACGCAAATGAGCCGACGCAGGCTAGGACACGAGTAAGAGAATCGTTCCAAGAGGTGAATCATACAACAGCCCGCAGCCAAACCGCGATATCCCCATACTTACTCTTCATTTGCTTCTCGTAAAAACCGTGCGGAATTCGCCCAACATACACGACATTGGATTTGGGCGGCTGATCGAGGACATTCAAATTTTGAGCCTTCTTCTTCCCCTTCTTCACAGGCCCGTCATGAATCACGATGTCCATGTTGCACGACGAGCAAGAGATGTGGCAATTGGATTTCCGCGAATTCAAACTCGCGTCGATGGAAAGAGAACGAGCTCGCTGCCAGCAACCCCTAAACCCTGAGCGAACTGTGCTTCATCACTCAACCGCAGTCCATGTCACGACCGGACAGCACAGTCTCACCTGGTGCAGTAAGTAAGGAACTCGCCCTGTGACCTAACCAATGTCTGTTCCCAGGTTACCCGAATACAGTTCTGCAGCAACGTGACTGTGGTTGTGCTGCATTACTGTGGTCACGACTATGTGGTTACAGAGTTGGTTTTATGGCAGTCCCAGTTCGTTAACAGGGTTCCTTTAGTGACAGTTCTGGGGAGGAAATTACTTGATCGGATCCCGGGGAAACTCGAAACACTTGCAGGGGCCCAACGCAGTCCCTGCAATCACACCGTCAGTGATGTTCTAATATTATCTGAGGTAATTTCGAGTAGAACATTTAGTCACGGCAAGACCATATCCAGAGTAATTCAGAGTCATGGTGCCCTTCGTTTTCTTAGACATGGCTGCAAACTAGTCGCCAACAGTGGCGGACACTCCCCACTCTATAGAGAAAATCAGTAGGTTATAAGAACATGGCTGACGGTGGCCGTCGAATGGTTCCATCGGGTAAAATGAAACCTGATGGGTCACTTCAAGACCATTGAGTTTCCAAGGAGTCCCATCAAGTAATATCCTCCAGTTCTGGGCCTCATAGGTCAACTAAACTTCTAATGAGAACTATGGGTTATCCATTTCGTATCACTACGATGTTGTTTTCTAGTAAATTTGGAGCATTCCAAAGCGAAATATGTTCTTCGGATTCCAATACTTATTAAATAATCAACATACTTATCTTGTGAAGTTTGCATTGGTATATATTATGAAACTCCGTTATTTAGTCTTCTTACTGGAGTTGCAGTTTGTGAGTTTTGGTGTATGTTGTTCTGCAATCTTCCGAGGTACCTGGATAGCTACGTATTGAAAGGCCAGGCCAGCTTTCACAAAACTATGCAAACTGAACCGAGAAAATGATCACGGACGTGACAATAATAGTGAAGATGCGGAGGTTTCATACATTAGAAGATTTCCAACTTGAATCTTCCATATTTTAGAAATTGAAAATAAAAAGAGTCGACATAGTGAAGAAATCCACACCCGTTCATATCATCTGTATCACCGTCTATGAAAAGAGAGAGAGTAAAATTTGAGTAGAAAGATCACTGACCAGAATTTGAAGAAAAAGTAATAAATTTCTCAATACACGCAGAGCCTAGTCGCAACATTCACATCGCAACATTCGCAACATTCACGAGAATAATAAACATGCATAACGCGATTTTAGCATGAGAAACATCGGAGAAGGAAGCCAGAGGAGAAGTTTGATAAAATCATTGGAAAACTTTTATAATTGTTCAGTAATTTTCATTTTCATGCAGTCAAAATCATAGGGAAATTTTTTTTCCTCAAACCCTGGTCACTTTTCTTTCTATTCACATATCGCACTCTTTTCGTGGACTGGAATTCCTCTTCCATGGACGGGGACATAGATCATATTAACTGGTGTGGTTATCTTCGCAACATCATGAACATAGACTTAAATAAATTAGACATCCGTTGTCACTGTCCTCTAGCATTGCATGAAGGAGACATAATAGTTAGAGTCGGAAAGAGAGAGAGAGAGTCCCTTTTAAATTGTTTTTACTCAAGGGCTGCGAAAATGACGTGCGTCCATCCATCAACGACGATGTCACCTTCTCCCTGTAAGCAACTTGACATGTGACATTTTGGTTTCCGAATAGGAGGCAGATCATCGAAAAGTCTTAGAGTCCAAGTATATATCATCAAAGATGATAGCATTCGCCATAACAAAGGCCGTTTCCTTGGCCTAGAGGTAATTCGACTCCACTCAAGGCTCTGCAAACTTATATAAATTTTGAAAACACATTGCTTTCAGTTATAAACAAATGTGAGCTTTAGGATCATTTTGGAGGACGGACAACACAGTCACGGCCTTTATCAGACTTGACCTCATAAGGGATTGTAAAGGTTCGGTTCTGGTGCCAAAGCCTTTATTGCGCTTTTGGGACTGGTAGACTTTTGAAATGCAGTCAAGAGCCTCATAATAATCCAGCCCTCTCTTGTCTTCATTACCTTCCATGAAGACTGTTCGTGTCTGCGATTCTTTTGATTCCTGAGAACCCACATATTGCAGTTGGTTGGGTCATCTACCATTTTAATGTCGCAGCTAGTTTGCGTAAATCCTTGACTTGTGCTATAGCTCTCTTCTTTTCCTCCTGGCGAAGGCGGAGGGCGATACTTGCAGGATCAAATCCTGTAATTGGCTTCAATTCTGGAGCTGCCTCTAACTCTTGGAGGAGATTGTCAACTTCTCGTATGAAGTCCACCCGCAGCAAGACGTCATCTTCTTCCTCCGGCATTTCTATAGGACCGTGGTGCTGTTGAATATTGATACAATCAGGAAAATTCCAATGAACAAGAAGTTTACATCAGAACATAGTGAGATAAGATGGCAGCGGTGTTGGACATCAGGCACTGAGAAAAGCATCTCCACTACTAGAGCATCTCTACATTGACCTCCATTGGAAGAGAAGGAGTTCCAAAGTAAACATCACTGAATTTCAGAATTAAAAAATTGCTGTAGAATCCATGACAATCTGTTTATAAAACGGCCAATAAGTCCTGTGCACCCTATAAATCCAACACAAAGTTGAAAATGAAGTAAAAAAAAACTTACGCTGTATAGATCGAAGTCTGGAGAGCCCAAAAATGTGAAAGCATCTTCCGGAGGAAATATTTTGATCATGGTTTGGCGAGAGCGCAGTAGCCACTCCTCATGGCTAAAACCATCGTGCAGATTGAGAAGTTCATTCAAAAACTGCAAAGCAAGCGGCGCTTCTCTCTGCAACATTTCGGTCTGCCGGGCAAAAAAAGACTTTACTTGACTGTCTCATATCTCATGACCACTAATTTACTCAGACAAAGAAATAATGAGAAACAATCATAAGACACACGTCGCTTACAGCTTATGCTACCTTGTCAAGACTCGAAAGATCTTCAATGCATTGCAAGTGGGAACATAGTCAGACTACAGCGTATGCTGGATTGATAGGGCTACATTAGAAACTTCTCCAGCGAGTCTAAAATACGTTTCGACGATCCTTAAAAAAAACATTATCAATGGATCAAATTGAGGTCAATAAAAGATGTCATTGCAAATACCTCAATGCGCCGGTACAGAAGATCAAGGGCTTGAATAGCATCTCTTTCATCCTGTACAAAGCTGGTAATAAGATTGATTTATCCACCGACAGCTTATTGTACAACTAAATTTGTCAAAGCATACACGTGTGGAAATGACATTCTAAATGACACCCATGAAGCATAATAAATTTCCACCATGAACTGCCATTTTGTTGTTAATCCTTCATAGTCGAAGAAAACCTACGTCATGTCGAGCGAGTTCCAGACGATTCTTGATAACCAGCAAGACGACAGGAGTCAACTCGTTGTTTTCCGCTGCTTCGACTATCATCTGCACAGGATTGGCAAACCAACCTATAGGAAATCAAGAATCCGCTTGTGAGGAAGGTATCTTAGATCAGATTCACCTGGAGAAAAAATTTCAGCAGTGTCGTAATCGTGATACCCAACGTCCACGATACAATCGAAAGTAGAAAGAATATTGTACTGGGACATCTTCAGGCATGTAAAAGCCTTCCCATGTACAGCACTTACCTCTTCAACAACACTGCCAGCTCGAATTAAGCTAGAAACAAATTTCTTTGCGTGCCGTACTTCTTCCTGAGGGTAACCGAGAAGTTGTTGCCCGATAGTCCTATATTCTGCTTCCTGGAGTAATCTTTCTTCCTCGTCTTTTTGTCTCAGGTAGTCTCGCTCTCTGCTCTCTCTCAGCATCTTTTTCTCCCATGCCTGAAGAGAAAGAGGAATTAGCATACATTTCAATCCCAGGTTACAGGAACTCTTTGACGCGCAGAATTCTGGTGGCAACTAAACAGGGCTCCATAAAGGAGATCTCTCATTCCACTCGACCTACTCGATAGCAACGACCACTCGAGAAAGTTCGTATCTAAGGCTAGAACACTCCAGGAAATTTCATACCTCGTCTCGGACAATTTCCAACTCTCGGGGGTCAGCGCACGCCCTCGGGCTTACTCTCGACACCGAAGTTCGAGATACCGTTGGTTGTATCCTCACGTGCTTTCCTGTTAAAAAACACAAATCCGGAGAAATCTTGTTAAAAATGCTGCCACTCTACTCTAGAACGGTGTACGAGAAGGTACGCAAGCCAAATTCTTCCAAATTCAACCTAAAGATGAATATCGAGTGTGACCTTCCGGGAAGAGATTGAGATCCACGGAAGGTACATACCAGCCGAACGAGACGACCAACTCAGATAAGCATGCGCGCTCTCTGCACCAGGTGCGGAAGAGCTTGCGAGAGAACAGGTTGCTAGCCGCTGCGCGAAGGCGTTCGAGCAAGAGAAGACCACGCAGTGAGCCATGGCACAACCTGCACAGAGGGACCGGCACACTGAATTCAGGCGCTTCCAAGGTAGGGTTCTCTGCTTATGTGCTTATGTCGTATCCGATACGAAGGGGAACTCCATCTTCAACCATGTTTTGTCCGACTCTCCTTAAACCCTAGCAACACAAACTTCGTGCACATACCTCGCGCTTTGCACAGGCCCTAACAAATTGGGTGGAGACTTGGATTGACACTTCCTGCCAATAATTTTATCAGCCGAGAATTGCTCGGCTCCAAAGTTGCCAGGGAAAAGGTCGTTATTGCCCAGATTGTCCACCGTTCAGAGGACAGGAGGATTCAGAAATGCGAGGAAATGGCGTGCGGTCTTTGCTGGTATGACACCGTGTTGTTCAATGATTGCTACATACCGGTGGCAGGACGGAGTTGCCTATGGGCGTACACATTGCCAATCATTGTATGATTGCGAGTCTGAATTCTGAATTCATTCATTCCAAAGATATAGTCTAGTTCCAAATTGCATCGCCCGATGATAGTTCACTTCTATGCTGAAGGAGGAGGTTTTCTGCTTCCCAGTCTTGAGCGAAGCGTTAATATGCAAAGTAAATGAGCCTCGCTGTGTGAGTAGAAATCCAGACCCGCCATCAGCGTGATGATGGCAAACAGAGCAGATGCTTCCACCGCCGGCAGTCTCAGCTGAATTTTGGTCCACTTCAGACATGGGCAGAGCCACACAGTTGTGAACATGGTCTCTAGAGCCCGCCATGCCATCCATGGCCATCGACAACGAGTTCCTCGTTGCTAAATATAAGCCTGATTTGGCAAATCCGAACAGAAAAAGCAATTTTCCAATTTTTATATGCAACCCTCCATATAAGAAATAAAAGTACCGAACGGGGGAGGACTGCCACACGAGATTAAGCGTGTGACCTGACTTTCGAGACGCCTCAGAAGCGGACTATGTCTGCGAGTTTCAGTGACAATTGTGACACAGAACTGACTCTGAGAGGAACGGAGAAGGCTGATTCGCAACAGAGGCGCGCGTGCGAGACAGCAATCATCAGTCACCTCCTGTCACAAACGCTATCCACACACACACACACACACACACAGCTACCGCTTTCTCTCTACGCTTCTTACATCACGCTGCTTTTGTCCGAGTTTTTCTGCGTCGAGATGATGACTCTTCCAACCATGCAAACAAATTTTAAATCTGCAGGCCAATCCAAAGATTCACTTTGATTCACATCAGTCTTTCATGCGGCAGGTCGAGATCACTGACCGATTTTGCAGGCACGCGTGCGAGCTGAACTTCAGACCAGGCCAGCAACAGCCGGCATTGATTCTGCTCTAACTCTGCACACACCAGAAGCTACTGCTAATCCCCTATCTTTCTCGGATCTCGCCTCTAATCCTCATCCCTCCCTCTCCCTCTGTCTCGCCACATGTCGCCCTTGTCGACATCGGGTTGGGGGTTAGCGGGTAAAACCCTAGAGGTCCTCTGCAGCCCCCAAAGAAACGGAACTGTGTCTTATCCACTGCTCTCTCTCTCTCTCGCTCCATCGCTCTCAATCGTGTACTGAAAAGGGGGAAAGGTCGTCATGCCGTGATGCCGCCTGCATCTCGGGGAGGCGGAGCAGGAGACGGAGAAGGGCGAGTACCAACGACAGCAATAAAAGCTTGGGCTGTCGTTTGGGTGCGCTTTTAAACCATCCTCGTTCCTTCATCGAGGCCCTCGCTCGCTCGACACACGCGATCCTTGATTCTCGGGCTTCTTCCGCTCTCATTGTCCTTGTCTGGTCGGTTTGGGTAAGAGGGTTTGATCAGGCCTCCACATTCTGCTCCTCATCGTCTTCTGGGTGTGTGCCCAATTATTGGCGCAACGCACAAAACGTACTTGCACCGATCGCTTTCTTGGCGCAACTGTACCCATTGCAGAGTTGCAGCTCGCTCTCGAGCCCACAAGTGGGCGTCCGATACACGAACGGGCTCCAATAAATGCCTCCACATGACCTCGAACTGCATGCACTGATCTCCGATTTGGTTGTGGATTCCCTTTCTTTCTTTCTTTCTTTCTTTCTTTCATGCTTTCCCGGACACCCTTCACAATTTAATTTGGATGACATCATTCGGTGGACCATGGGACAATTAATTGCCTCCAAACGAGTGACGACCGAAGATCATGAATGTTCGGACGATGCCAATGTGCTCCAATCCACAGTTGTGGGGTGTGGATCAAGACCAGACCAGACCAGACCGACTGAAAATCTAGTTCGAGCTCTCGAACCACGTTGTCGAAGCACGGGAATCGATTCGGTGCAATCCGTGGTGGCTTGTCACATGCCTAGGGTTAGAACTAGGGTCACCTCCAGCAAATTTTTCGACCGACGACGATGGACGAAATTAACCTCGGTCAACGATAACCTCATCAAAACACGGACCCTAATCAAATGCTCGCTGAACAATATCTGAATGAGTACCGCACATGCCGTAGCTTTACAACCGTGCTGTCACGCTGATGATGATGATGATGCTGAATTACCGATCGTATTCAAATTTCACAACACAGTACGGGACGGGATTTTGCTGTTTGAGTACGAGTACGCACATTGCCAGTAGTAGTAGTACTTTCGTGCCTTCTCTTATACATGATTTGGGTGATTAATTCTGATTACTTCACAGATCAAATCATGGCGAGTCCACTCGGAGAACACAATTAATTTTCGTGCTCGCACACCTACAGATTGCGTGATTTGTCAGTGCCATAATGAAATTTCGCATTCCTCTAATGCAATGGCAATTACAGCGGACCAAGCGGGGATTCACTCGTTGATCTCCTCAAGAAACCTCTGTTCATTTATAACCTCAGTGCCTTTGGCTTCCTTTCGTGGAGAAACAATGATAGAGGATCTTCTAAGCACATGATTTGGGTCGCAGGGTTTTATGAGAGCAAGCATTTCACTGTATCAATGGAATGCTTGCTGCTGTTGACACCGTCCTCCCAGAAGTTCCAGCCTTCCCTTTCTTCCGCATAATTGCAGGACGCCCCATAAAAAGCTGCAGGTGAGGTGCCCTGGTAGACATACATTCAGTACATCAACTTCATCAATTCCATCAAATCCATCAAATCCAAATCCCGGTATACTTACGGTACGTTGGCTAGTACTACACAGGAATGAAATGCATAATGAGCATAATAATACACAGGAACTCAATTGGAAAAATCAAAAGCCGAGAAGACACAGTGACCTAAAACCTTCACAGATTGAAGTCTACTAAACTCCAGATGTAGAGAGGGTGAGGCTCATGGAATCAAAGGCTAGACACAATCATATCTACTTACTGTAAATACAAAGCCAATGCGGGACTGCCCGAGATCCTCAAATTGGAATGCTAGTAATTTCAGATCTCCGGAGCTCTTCAAGCTCAATCCTGCCTACGCTTGCAAAGGTCATGTGCTCCTTTTACAGTAAATAGGAGATGGTAGCATGATCCTCTAGAGACAACATGATCACTCTTTCGAGCAAAGGCATTAATGACCTCATAAATGGCTTCGTGTGTGGAAACACTCACAACTCCCAAAATGACAATTGTGAAATGAGTCTCTAATATATTTGAATTTCTTGATCAGGCTTGCATGTTCTACGCTGAAAGTTTGATCACGTCCGGTCAAATGTACGTGGCTATTATAAATGTCGCGAAAAATATGAGGAAAACAATACATGTGCTCGCGCAATCAACCAGAAGCCTCAATCTTTGTGGGATAAAAATCACATGCAAGCTCTGGATTCACTTTAGAGAATCGTGATGCATCATGGATGCAAATGTACTTTTTGGTGTGACTATCTGAAAGACCTCTCTAACGACTAGATTCTCAAACCCTGGATGTTCGTGTCTAGCCAAGGTTGCCAAACCATAGTATGCAAGACACTTATAAGACAAGGCTGAAAATTTGTCAGATTTTATTCGTGAAGAGTAGTTTTGTGAGAAGATAATAAAATCAAAGTCAAATTTGCAAACAAAATGGATGAATATATGTTCATCGAGTTTCAACTATCAATTAATTGTTGATGAATCACAACCCTCCATCGAAAGTATATTCATGCTTAACTTTAATATTCAACAATATCATCGCAAATGTGCACAATTATTTTTAATCTGAAGCAACTTCTTGATTTACAAAATAAAATAGTGGTTTCTATGTGGTTGAGATACGTAAATGTTATGAGACTCACCTTAACATATTTTATACATGTCCTTTAATAGTCCTTTGAAAGTGATGCTAGATTATCAATGTGCAAAAGATCATGCAACAGAATATTGTAGCATGTTAGGGGAATTATTGTCAACACACAACACTTTCATATGATTTTGAAACTCTTGAGTATTTTCAACAATAATTTGTGCAATCTCAATAATACTCAAATTTAGAAAACTTTATGACAGATTTCAAAACTTGCAGGTTGGTAATTTGATCATCGTCATGATAAAATTCAAGACAGACCCTATATGTACCCTAATTAAGTATTGTATTATAATGATGTGTACAATACTATCATGATTATTATTTGAAATCATTCTCATATTATAAAACCTTTTTTTACATGTGAGACATGACAATTAGTTATGATAAAAAGGGTTAAAATTGACGAATGTCATTTTTTTCCAGTTGTTATTCCTTATAATCATATCGTAAAACAACTAAATCTATCAAAGTATACATATTGTTAATACAAACTTCATGGGTTTCGGCACAGTTACATTTGTATATTAAAAGAAAATTTATTTTGGAAAATTTCTTGAATTAAAAACTTTTTTCCAGTATAATATAAATGTGCAAAGAATTGTTTTAGGAAAAAAATAAAATTTAAAAATGAATACGTTATGAAATTATGATTCCAAAAATGAAAAAATGTGGACATTTTTAACATTTTTCCTTGATTTGAAATCTATAATAAAAAATTTAAGATTTGTCAAAAATAGAGCTTAGGAAGTATCACACAACTATCAGGTTATAACATTGAAAATTGTATAAGAATCAAAAAATTAGTACAAAATATGGAGAGAATATTAACACAAATTGCATGAAATCTTTAAAGAAACTTCTGAACAAGTTTTTCATTGAAAAGATGATATTTTTGTAAACTTTTTTTTCAATAATAGCACTAAAAAATCTAACATGCGTAAATTATTTTGACACATTTAAGTTATTTTAAAAACCTTCTGGGTTTTTTATATTCTATGACTTTGTGTGAAAGATGCCTTGTTGAATATTGATTTTGAATTTTACGATTCATTTTTAAAATATATGCTATTATCTGCGTAGCTATTTTTGAATCATTGGAATAAATTATTTTCATTTGATATTTATATGGATGAAATTAATGAATTTTTTCAGTGGATTTTAATTGTAAAATAATTTTGATAGAAATTATAATTATAATTTATTTTATAACTGTAATGAATATCTTGGAGAACCAAGTATTATTAAGCATGGATTTCATAATGGTTGTAGTTGAAGTCTACATGATTTGAAATATTTTATTTTTTTGTACATTATCTACTTACAACATACGTAAACTGTTTTTATCCAAACAAACTGGAATACAATTCTTATTTGTTTTGTGTGTGTATATATACTCACACGTAAGGGTAATATGTACTTTGATAATGAATGATATCGGATTACAAATTTTTGTATTTTGCTTTGTGTTATATATATATATATATATATATATAACACATACATACATAAATATATACATTTTTTATATATTTAAAATTTTAATTTAATTAATTTTTAAATGAAAAATACATTTTTTAAACACATAATAATTTTAACTTGAATTAAATAATTTTTTGAATAGCATGTTATGAGATAAAAAATAATTATGTTATTAAAATTTTCAATAAAATAACTGAAGTTACAACCTTCTATAATTTAAGTTTTTAGTATGAGTATTTCATGAAAATTTGTTTTTAAATACAAGATATAGAGTTTATGTATTAAAGTAAAGTTGGGTAAGGAGCATTGATTTGTTGACAGCAGTTCATTCGGAGTGGCAGGCATAGTCCTCTTGTCTGGCAAGAGTGACAGACATGACGGAACCCTCGAACGACACACATTCTCTGACTATACTATGACCATACATTTGAATACGCCAAGGCTGACGGTGTAGATTCACGGCAACTTGCAACAACCACCTCATTAGGATTTTGCCACAAGGCTGGGAAATTAAAACCTTGCAATTTATGTTCCTCATGTGACTAGAATGGGTCGACATCGTACATCACATTAGCACCGTTTCAACTATATTTCTAGAGCTAGACGATCTGGGACTTTGGTAACAGACATGTGGTATGTCCACAGCAACGGAAAGTTGACTTATGGTACATTTGACATGTCCAATAAGTCAACTTTTCGTTT